GGCATCGCCTCCTTCCTCGGTAACCCCACCCGAGAGACAAGCCCCACAACCTGTGGTAAGGCATAACATTCCGCCAAACTCACCATCTCCAACCACCTCTCCGGCCTGCACCGCTGACATGCAGGATTTCGGTGAGGAAGACCCGGAAGGGGAGAGAGAGTGGGACAATACGTCCTACGCCACTCTAGCCCCAATGCAAGACTCCCAACCTGCAAACCAGGAGCCCATACCTGGTCCATCTTCTGCGACGGACTCTTATGCGCAAATTGCAGCAGCGCCGAGATCAGCGCCACCGTCACCTCCACCACCATCTGCACAGAAACAACAACAACCAGTAAATAACCAGGCCAAATACCCTCCTATTATAGTGGAGTGCTTCCCCAATTGGGCGAAGCACTTCAAAATTATCCACCAGCTTCTGGGACACGCCCCTAATGCTCGCCCGTTTGGGAAGGGAGTCCGTTTTCGGCCCCAGTCCGACGACGAGTATCGGAAGGTCCAGCGCTACCTCATCGATAAAAGCAAGGAGGATGCCACCTTCGTGTGGTATTGCTACGCCCCACAGGAGGAGCAACCCACGAAGGTGGGGTTAAGAGGGCTCCCTGCAGATACCGACCCTAAAGACATACAGGAAGCCCTCATAGAGAAGGGCTTCCCTGTTACTTTTGTCCGAGCAATACCACCAAAAAGAGGCAGGCCTGGCTGCCTCTTTCATGTAAAGATGAACCACCTAAGTCCTGAAGAGCTCAACAGATTGTACAAAATTGATGAGCTCCTTTACATGCCGGGAGTTACAATTGAAGGCTGGACAGGCAGAATTGGCCCTGCGCAGTGTCACAGGTGTCAAGGGTTCGGACACGCATCTTACAACTGCTACCGGCCCTTCAAATGTGTACGCTGTGCGGGTGACCATCTTGCCTCTACTTGCCCACAACCGAGAGATACACAGCCCAAATGCGCCAACTGCGGCAGGGATCACGCCGCAAACGACAGGCGATGCCCAGTGCTGCAGCGAATTGCGAGGAAAAGAGGCATCAACATACAGCCTCCCATGCCCCCGCAACGCGAACCAGCACGAGCACCGCAACAACCACCTCCTCAACAGTGGCAACCACCACTGCCCCAAAGACAAACACAACTCCAACCCAAGCAGCTGCAAAAACAGCAGCAACCGCAACACCAGGCGCCTCAACCGCAGCAGCGGCAGGTGACATTAGCACCAGCGCCTACTACATTCGCGACGACTGGGGCGACATTAGCTCCACCGGCGAATGATCCCACGGAGCGCATAGAGCGCCCAAAGAGGAAAAGAGGCAAGAAGAAGAAGAAGAAGAAGGCAACCACCCAAACAGCTCAAGTGGGTGGTACTTCAACTCCTCTTCCTCCACCCAACACTACCAATGAACAGCGACTACCACTGCCACAACTGCGATATACCTTCCCTCCATCAAATCAGAACGAGCAATCTGCACCCCAACCCCGAGATCAACGCCCACCCAAAAGGACAATAACTGTCACACCCCTATCACAGCCCCAGGCACCAACCACCATCGAGGAGGCCCTCGCTCAACTGGTGGGCGTGGTAATCAGGATCTTAGGAAAGGTCCTGACTGCCATGACCACCGGCACCAACCCCCTTTCGGCCATCTTAACGGCCTTAGCCCAACTAACATCTGTCAGCAGGCCATCAACTTAGGATGGTCTACTGGAACCCCGGCGGCATCTTAGGGAAGGTCGCCGACCTGAGAACCCTGGTCCAGCAGCACAATATCCAAATTGTGCTGCTGGGGGAGACCAAACTGCGCCCCTCTGCTCAATTAAAACTCCCCAACTTCTTCGTGTACCGACATGACGAGATCTCCTCAGAAGGTATCGCGTACAGAGGTACTGCGGTCCTTGTGAGGAGGGACGTCATGCACGAAGAAGTTGGCACCAATACACAATTTATATCCACCAGAACCAAGGGTATAAGGCTGAAGGTAGGCACCAGAGAAATTAGAATCTTTGCTGCCTACAGACCTCCCGGCACCTCATTTGCCCCCCAAGACATACGTACCATATTTGACTCCACGACACCCGCAATAATCGCCGGAGACCTCAACGCGAAACATCCCGCTTGGGGCTCCGCGCTGATCACACCACCCGGCAGGAAACTGTTCGACGACGCCGAGGAGTGGGGGTACGAGGTGCTGGGCCCTGATGAGCCCACCCATATCCCGACAAAGCCAGAACATAAGCCCGATGTTCTTGACATTGTGCTGTGTCATCTAGTGCCGTATACAACACGGTTAGAAGTGTTGTATGACATAGATACACAACACCTCCCCGTGCTGATTACTATCGACATCAGTGTGGATGCCATGGTGCCCAGAAGTCTCCGAATGAAGACAAATTGGACCCGCTTTTGTAGTGCGCTGGAGGACTTCCAACCTTGCGCCCCAATTACCACCAGTGAAGATGTAGAGACTGCGGCCCTACATCTTCACAACACTATAAAAGAGCAACTCCAACTACACTCTCACCCTGTCGCCACGGGGCGCGGGAAGGAGGGACTCCCACGCAATCTGCAAACGCTTCTATCCGAGAAGCGGAAGATGAGGAGGCTCTGGGCACGGACACGATGCCCACGGATCAAAACCAAGCTAAACGCTATGACGGAAGAGCTGTCGGAAGCAATGAGAGCTTACAGGGGAGAAGCATGGGAGAGGCGAGTCGACGAAGCCTCGGAGACACCCGCCTCCCTGCATCTCCTCAACCGGCAGCTCTCCAAGACACCACCACCTGTCTGCCCACTAGTGGACAGCACGGGGAGTAGGATTTACGACGCCCAACCTAGAGCGGACTTGATGGCACAGCACCTAGAACAACAGTTCATACCCAACAGCATAGCAGAGGGGTACGCAGACCACGTACAAGGCATAGAGGACCGCGTACGGGAATACCTCTCTAACCCGGCGCCGCCATTGCGAGGCGGCGATTTCATATCTCCAGCAGAGGTAAGGCGCACTATTATGCGCCTACCTAGCCGTAAAGCGCCGGGTTATGACGGCATCACCACCACAGCCATAAAGCAGCTGCCCAGAAGGGTAATAGTGGCACTCACCAGTCTGTACAATGGCATCTTACGGACTGGCCACTTCCCAACCATCTGGAAGCAGGGCAGAATCATCGTGCTGCCGAAGCCGGGAAAAGACAGGAGGTTCCCGGCCAGCTACCGCCCCATAACGCTATTGCCGCACATAGCAAAACTTTTTGAAAAAATCACCCTGCACAGGGTTCTCCCACATGTTACCCTGCGTGAGGAGCAATTTGGCTTCCGCAGGGGACATTCCACAACCTCTCAGCTGGCCCGCGTGCTGCACTATCTTGCGGCCGAATATAACTTCGGCCGCATCTGTGTGGGGGTCCTTCTCGACATGGAGAAGGCCTTCGACAGGGTGTGGCACGCAGGGCTAGTTTATAAACTCATTCAGCACACCACTTTACCGCCCATGCTTGTGCGGTTAATAGCGTCATTCCTGGAGGGGCGGAGCTTCCATGTCTCCTTGGAAGGGGCTGTTTCGGCGGCACGACCGATTTCTGCGGGAGTGCCACAGGGCAGCTGCCTATCACCGCACCTGTACGCGGTCTACACCAACGACATCCCCACCCTCCAAGGCCATCTGGAGGAATGGGAGGATGACGTTGTCCTAGCCTTGTACGCCGACGACAGTGCGTACTTCGCGTCATCACGTCGGGTGGACATAGCTGCTAAGAAATTGCAGCGGGTACTCGACCTCTTGCCTGAGTGGCTGGACAAATGGAGGCTGGCGGTCAATGTCGGGAAGACCGTCGCCTTCATGACCAGGCTGGCCAGAACACCACCAACTCTGCAACTCCGCGGCCAGGATGTGGGTTGGAGTAGTACCATTACGTACCTAGGATGCCAGATAGATCGCTCGCTGCGCATGACCCCGATGGTCAATCACGTTGTGAGACAGGCCAGAGCTGCGCGAGCGAAACTATACCCTATACTGGCATCCAAACTCCCAACAAGAACGAAAATAGGTATCTACAAAACCTACATCCGCTCGCGGCTGACCTACGCAGCACCAGCCTGGTACGCGTTGACCTCGGCCACTCAGCGCAAGAGGTTGCAGGCCCAGCAAAATCTTGCGCTCCGGGTGATCGTGGGAGCCGGTCGCTACGTCAGGAATGACATCATTTCTCGCGACCTCAAGGTCGAAACCATTCATGATTTTGTGGTCCGTTCTGCGAGACGGTTGTTCGACCGCGCAGACAACGGGCCACACCTACACCTTCAAAATCTTGCTCCCCTCCACGCCCGCCCACCTGACGGGCGACCACTCCCACGTGAACTTCTACGCTCACTGCCCGGCACAGGGGACGCCGGGGGTGAGTGAGCGTCCCGACACTCGACGTGATGGCGCGAGGTGCGCAATACACCTACATATAAGCTGCCAACGCAGCACCCAGGACCGGGGGGTCGTGTCCTCCTGAGATGCCGCCCATGTAAAGAGGGTCTCCTCGACACATGAAAACCTCCACAAGGAGATGAACCACCACATACAAATCAGTTCGCCGCGGGCCGTGTTACCGTGCGGACGTGTCTATCGCGCTCCAGTGCTAGTGTACGTGTTGTGTCAGTGAACGACTCCACCGACGTCGAGTTCGCTACGTTTAGCGTCGATGCGTCGCTGGCGCTCTCCTGCGTCGAGCTACAACCAAGGTAAGCGCAAAGGTCACTACCTACGCTGTGCCCTACTTTGCGTGTTACCTTACTTCACTGTACCCTCTTTTTATTGTTTTAAAAAGTGATTACAAGTGTGCCGCACTCTGTGTTGAGTTAACGCCCATTACATCTGCCCCTCAAACACCCCTCCCCGCTCGCGGGCGCCTCGCTGGGCCTCCCTCAAGGGTTTCACCCGGTTTGGTTGCACGCGACGAGGGGAGTAAGGTGTGTGAAAGCTAAGGGCTGAGCACAAATTAACACCAAAAAGATGTCGGACAAGGGGGAACCTCCCCCACCACGCCGTAAGCCACCAGATAGGCGTCCGGGAGTTCTTGACAGGCCCTTCATGGAGCGAGACCTCTTCGCTCCTGAGAGGTCAAGATTGCTCCCACCGTATAGCCAACTACCGAGGCGGATAGGTAGTTCACCGGCCACTGGCGCCGCGCTCGGCACTGGTGAAGCTGTGTTTCCACTTAGCGTCAAACCGGCTCCACTGCCACGCCGGAGCCTAGCCTCGTGGAGAAGGACCCCTCCCGAAATCAATGAAGACGAGCTTCAAGAGGAGAAAAGGCTGAAAGCAGGATCCCACTCTCTGTCTGATTCGGCATCGCCCACTACCTCGCCAACCCCACCTGAATGGCAAGCCCCACAATCCTTAGTGAGGCACAACAACCCACCAAATACACCGTCACCAACCACCTCTCCGGCCTGCACAAATGACATGGAGGATTTAGTTGAGCAGGACCCAGAAGGGGAGAGGAAGTGGGACAATACGTCCTACGCCACCCTTGCCCCTATGCAAGATGCTCAAACTTCAAATCATGAGCCCATACCGGGACCATCCTCAGCGCCAGACTCTTATGCGCACATAGCAGCAGCTCCGAGAACGGCGCCACTACCATCACCTCCATCTGTGCTAAGACCACAACAGCCAGCAGACAACCAAACGGCCAAATACCCGCCCATTATAGTGGAGTGCTTCCCAAATTGGGCGAAGCACTTTAAAATCATTCACCAGCTTCTGGGCCGCGCCCCGAATGCTCGCCCATTTGGGAAGGGGGTCCGCTTTCGGCCCCAGTCCGACAATGAGTACCGTAAGGTACAGAGGTACCTGATTGACCGCAGCAAGAAAGATGCCGCCTTCTTGTGGTATTGTTATGCCCCACAGGAAGAGCAACCCATGAAAGTGGGGTTAAGAGGGCTCCCGGCGGATACCGACCCAAAGGACATACAGGAAGCCCTCATAGAGAAGGGCTTCCCGGTCACCTTTGTCCGACCCATCCCACCGAAAAGAGACAGGCCTGGCTGTCTCTTCCACGTAAAAATGGAACACCAAAGTCCCGAAGAGCTCAACAGGCTATACCAGATAGATGAGCTACTTTACATGCCGGGGGTAACTATAGAGGCCTGGACTGGTAGAATTGGCCCCGCGCAGTGTCGCAAATGCCAAGGGTTCGGGCATGCATCCTTTAATTACTACCGGCCCTACTAATGTGTACGCTGTGCGAGTGACCACCTGGCCTCAGCCTGCCCACAACCACGGGATGCGCAACCCAAATGCGCAAACTGCGGGAAAGACCACTCGGCGAACGACAGGTGGTGCCCAGTGTTGCAGCGAATCGCGAGGAAGAGAGGCATTAATATGCAACCTCCTATGCCCCCGCAACCAGCACGGGCACCGCAACGCCAACCACCTCCACCACAATGGCAACCATCACCGCCACCACCACCTCAAATGCCACAGCATCAGCAAAACCCAACAGCAACAATACCACCCACACTCACAACGTCAGGCACCGCAACCGCAGCAGCTGCAGGTGATAATAACACCAGCACCAACTACATTTATCACGACCGGGATGACCTTAGCCCCACCGGCGAATGATGCCACGGAGCGCACAGAGCGCCCCAAGAGAAAAAGAGGGAAAAAGAAGAAGAAGAAGAACAAGGCGACAACCCAATCTGATCAAGTGGGAGGTACGTCGACTACTCTCCCTTCACATATCACCACCATACAACAGCGACAACCACTACCACAACCGCAATACACTTTTTCTCCTATTTCGAGCCAAAATGAGCAAACTGCACCCCAACCCCGAGAACCACGCCCACCTAAAAGGACTGTTGCAGTCACATACCAATCCCAGCCTCAGGCACCAACCACCATCGAGGAGGCCCTCACCAAACTGGTGGGCATGGTGATCAGGATCCTAGGAGAGGTCCTGACTGCCATGAATACCGGCACCAACCCCCTTTCGGCCATTCTAAGTGCCTTATCCCAACTCACCATCGTTAGCAGGCCATCAACTTAGGCCATCTACTGGAACCCCGGCGGCATCTTAGGGAAGGTCGCCGACCTGAGAACCCTGGTCCAGCAGCACAATATCCAAATTGTGCTGCTGGGACAAACCAAGCTGCGCCCCTCTGCTCAACTAAAGCTACCCAAGTTCTTCGTGTACCGATATGACCCCGGAAGGTGTCGCGTACAGAGGTACCGCGGCCCTTGTGAGGAGGGACGTCTTGCACGAAGAAGTTGGCACCAACATGAATTTCATATCTACGAGGACCAAAGGGATAAGGGTGAGGGTTGGGACGAAAGACACAAGGATTATCGCCGCCTACAGACCTCCCGGCACGTCGTTTGCCCCCCAGGACATAAGAAACATCTTAGACGGAACAACACCTGTTATTATCGCCGGAGACCTCAATGCAAAACATCCTGCTTGGGGCTCCGCGTTAATAACACCACCAAGGAGAAAACTGTATGACGACGCCGAGGAGTGGGGGTAAGAGGTGCTGGGCCCAGATGAGCCCACCCATATCCCCGCCAAACCTGAACACCAGCCCGATGTCCTAGACATAGTGCTGTGCCATCTTTTGCCGTACCCAGTACAGTTGGAAATGCCGTATGATTTAGATACGCAGCACCTCCCCGTGCTGATTACCATCGACACCAGTGCGGATGCCGTAGTGCCTAGAAGTCTCCGAATGAAGACCAACTGGACTCGCTTCCGCAGTGCGCTGGAGGACCTCCAACTCTGCGCCTCTATTACCACCCATGAAGATGTGGAGACAGCGGCCCTACATCTTCAAAACACAATAAAAGACCAACTTCAACTCCATTCCCACCCTGTCTCCACAGGGCGCGGGAAGGAGGTATTCCCGCGTAAACTGCAAACACTATTGTCCGAGAAGCGGAATATGAGGAGGCTCTGGGCACGGACACGATGCCCACGGCTAAAAACCAAACTCAACTCCATGACGGAAGAGCTGTCGGAAGCAATGAGAGCATACAGGGGAGAGGCATGGGATAGGCGAGTCGACGAAGCCTCGGAGACACCCGCCTCCCTGCATCTCCTCAACCGGCAGCTCATCAAGGCACCAACACCTGTCTGCCCACTGCAGAATATATGACCCCCATAAGAGGGCGGAACTGATGGCACAGCACCTTGGGCAGCAGTTTATACCCAATACCGTAGCAGAGGGGTACGCAGACCATGTAAAAAGTATAGTGGACTGCGTACAGGAATACCTTTCAAACCCGGCGCCGCCCTTGCGGGGCGACGACTTCATTTCACCAACGGAGGTAAGGCGCACCATCATGCGCCTACCCACCCGTAAAGCGCCGGGATATGACGGCATCACCACCACAGCCATTAAGCAGCTGCCCAGAAGCGTAATAGTGGCACTCGCCAGGTTATATAACGGCATCCTGCGAACTGGCCACTTTCCGACCATCTGGAAGCAGGGTAAAATCATCGTGCCGAAGCCGGGAAAAGACAGGAGGTTCCCGGCCAGCTACCGCCCCATAACGCTATTGCCGCACATAGCAAAACTCTTTGAAAAACTTACCCTGAGTAGGGTTCTTCCACATGTCACCCTGCGAGAGGAGCAATTTGGCTTCCGCAACTTCACAGCTGGCCCGCGTGCTGCACTATCTTGTGGCTGAATATAACTTCGGCCGCATCTGTGTGGGGGTCCTTCTCGACATGGAGAAGGCCTTCGACAGGGTGTGGCACGCTGGGTTAGTCTACAAACTCATCAATCAAACCACATTGCCGCCAATGCTTGTGCGGCTAATAGCGTCGTTACTGGAGGGGCGGAGCTTCCATGTCACCCTGGAAGGGGCTGTCTCGGCGGTACGACCGATTTTAGCCGGAGTGCCACAGGGCAGCTGCCTATCACCGCACCTGTACGCGGTTTACACCAACGACATCCTCAACCTTCAAGGCCATCTGGAGAAATGGGAAGATGACGTAGTTCTTGCTTTATACGCCGATGACAGTGCGTACTTCGCGTCATCACGTCGGGTGGACATAGCTGCCAAGAGGTTGCAGCGGGTACTCGACCTTTTGCCTGAGTGGCTGGACAAATGGAGGCTGGCGGTTAACGTCGGGAAGACCGTCGCCTTTATGACCAGGCTGGCCAGAACACCACCAACTCTGCAACTCCGCGGGCAGGATGTGGGTTGGAGTAGTACCATCACATACCTAGGATGCCAGATAGATCGCTCGCTGCGCATGACCACGATGGTCAATCACGTAGTGAGGCAGGCCAGAGCTGCGCGAGCGAAACTCTATCCTATACTGGCATCCAAACTCCCAACAAAACGAAAATAGGTATCTACAAGACCTACGTCCGCTCGCGGCTGACCTACGCAGCACCAGCTTGGTACGCGTTGACCTCGGCCACTCAGCGCAAGAGGTTGCAGGCCCAACAAAATCTTGCGCTTCGGGTGATCGTGGGAGGCGGTCGCTACGTCAGGAATGACATCATCGCACGTGACCTCAAGGTCGAATCCATCCACGACTTCGTGGTCGGTACTCCGAGACGGCTGTTCGACCGCGCAGACAACGGACCACATCCTCACTTGCAAAATCTTGCACCGCTCCACGCCCGCCCACCTGACAGGCGGCCGCTCCCACGTGAACTCCTACGCTCACCGCCCGGCGACGGGGACGCCGGGGATGAGTGAGCATCCCGACACCTAATCGGATGGCGCTAAGTGCGCAACACACCAACCCATAAGCTGCCAACGCAGCACCCAGGACCGGGGGGTCGTGTCCTCCTGAGATGCCGCCCATGTAAGGAGGGTCTCCTCGACACATGAAAACCTGCACAAGGAGAAGAACCACCATACATACATCGTTCGGGACCAGCTACCAGTATAATATATAATCACAGAGCGGTTTGAAGATAATTGCTGTTTTATTCCCAAGGGATCCTTCACCTTTAAATATTACTACAGTCCACCTTGTGCTGCTAACGTAGCACATATTGAAGAATTAAGGTGCTGGGACCGGGACGACCTCGGAAGACCCGTAATCCCCGTCTGAACCTTTTTATAAGAAAAGGAAGCAGCAAACATTCTCGTGTGATACTCTTCACGGGGTTCACATACACCTCGTTGACCTCCCGGACCTAACGTAGGTGTCATAGGAGACTCAGGATCAAGGAATCCGCTGTTGAATGCTGAACCGTGTCCTTTTCAATAATTGACCGACAACTTAACGAAAATAATCAAGGGCCGTGTACTGTACACATTTCATCATCCTGAAGTATTTTGATCTTTGTTATAAATATCGTATATAATTTCATAGAGTTTAGTAAAAATCTGTTATTTTGACATTACAAATAGACACTTCAATTTTATTTATTCGTATATATTTTTAAATTATTAATCGCCGGAGAAACTGTCTGCCCTTTCGTGATTTTTTTTTTGTTATATACTAGCTGCTCCCCGCGCCTTCGCCCGCGTGGAATATATTACGATTTGTTACAATATATTTTAATATTTTTGCGCGGAACCCTGGTTATTTTTTTAATATAAAAGTTACTCATTATAACATCAGTCGAAAATAATTTTATAGGGCACGCGTTGAGACACAACCATCCGCAATAGCCCGCTCGCGGGTTCTGAGTAGTGACGTGTCCCTCACTCATGAGTAAAGATGTGCCAACTTGGGAAAATCACGACTCGAGTTAAATCTAGTTGAAATTCACATAACTCGTTTAGTTTAAACTCGAGTTACACAACTCGAGTTTCGCAACTCGAGTTACACAACTCGAGTTTCGCAACTCGAGTTACGCAACTCTAGTTAGCAGTACGAAACAGAGTAAATGATTTCTTACAAATTACTTTTTTTATAAATTTGTTTTTGTGTCTAGCTCTTTGGTGGGTTGGGATAACTATAATTACCAAACTTATTATGTATGATTGAAATAAAAAGATATATTTAATATGTATAGTCTTCACCTAACAATATTAGTCCAGCTTTAAGATGTAGGTACATAAGCTATTAATAATTTAATTATCATAGTCAAAATATGCTCAAATAAATTCAATTTTTTTCAAATTCTAAATATTTATTGTAACCTTAGTGTTACATTTGGCGTTAATTTAAAATAAGATGTATCTTACAACTAATTACCATTTTCGGGCAATACAATAGGTTTAAAATAATAATAGAGTTATGACGTACATACCTATATTGATCATAATTGATCAAAATTATAAAAGAAATTAAATAACATAACTTAGCTTTTATAAAATTCTAAATAAGAAATTGTTTTGGTTGTAGCTAAATACTCTTTGAAACATAAAGCGCGCACACAATGAACGAATCGCGCTCATACTCTTATGCTGGCTCACTTGATCCGTTCATGTTAACGAGTTAACTCGAGTTAAGCGCAACTCGAGTTAACTCGAGTTAGTAACTAGAGTTGACACATCACTACTCATGAGTTGCCTCGTTGGAGGTTCCCGTGACGACAAATCGAAAGAGTTACTTGAATTTTAACATTAAAACTCCTCACTCACTTGTTAACGACCTCGCTTATGACTGACAATATGAATCGTGCCCGAGTGAGTGAGCGAACGACTCGATTAAAAACAGTTCAAGTAGGTATCGAGATTCTGTATTTTGCAGCAAAACTAAATGATTGAGGTGTCGATATTGAGGAGAAAGGTTAGTAAATAACAATAATAATTTTTGAATAATGGAATTTGAAACAAACAAGTTACAAATATGAGTGTGAAAATAAAATCATGAGTACTTTTTTGTGATCTCTTGTGTAATCTCTTTTGTGTGATGTATAGAATGAAGACCTCTACTGAATTAGTAATTAATTTATGGTGTATATGCTTTTACAACAAGATCCTAGAAAATTTACAAAATTTGTCAATTTATTTTATAAGATAAGGGTAACAAGGAGCACACAGTCCACCTGATGGTAAGTCGTTGCTGTGACCCATAGACTACATTTATCCTCAATAAAGAATCAAAATGCAGATGCGTTGTCACCTGTGAGGACTAAGATGGAATGCCTTGTTCCCAGTAAAAAGGGTCCCCGGTTCTCTACACTCACCATACAAAATACAGCAGCGTTAAGCTGTTATTTTACGCTGGTATTCTGCGAGAGCGTGATCCTTCCCCGGTCGAGCCGACCCATTCGTGCTACAACTATACTACTAATATAGCTGCAGCGTGGCTCTACCACGAACAAACAATAATCAATCAATTTTAGTCAATAAACAAGTTTAAATGTTTTATAAAAAAAAATTGTACAAAACAGGTTATTATAATATCAAAGAATGCATAAATGAAAATAACTCCTGGAAATTAAGTGATCTGCTGGTTCTATTAAAATTTATTTAAAAATTGTACAAAATTATTGTAAAGTGAAATATGCTTTAAAATAAATCCCGCTGGGTTTTTGCCAGATCTTCACAGGACAGAGGTATTATCCGAACCAGTGGTAAATAAAAAAATGGATTTCAATAATTATGTATTAATCTATATTCAATAAAAATATTCTATTCTATGGAGAGGGTTATGCTCGGGGTTTCTCTGCGTGACAGACTGAAAATTGAGAATATCCACAGTAGAGTCAGAGTAACGAGTTAGGAAGCTGAAGTCGAAGAACCGACAACCGATGGAGAAGAATGGTTCTCCAGTAGCTGCCTCATACCGGTAGATGAAGTGTAGGGCGGAAGTAATTTGAAATGTTTTAGCGTGACCATGAGAAACTTGTGTGTCAAGTATCAAGTCTCCAGTAGAATGTTCTGAGAAACACACTGCTATCATTGATCTATAAAGCTTATTGTATGTGGAACACGCATCTATTGGAGATCCTTTTTCCTCATATTACTCCAAGTTTTTTAAAAAAAATCCTACAATTAGGAATTTTAATTATTGGACTAACAAAAAATATTGGACCTTATGTCAATTCCTCGTAATATAGTTACTAAAATAATTAACTACAAGTTTACGTGCTTGTTCAAGATTTACTCAGTGTTGAAAGAAAAACATATTTATAAGACAGCTGAGATCTATCAATCTATCAAGTGCAAGCTTAGGCTGTTATTTAGAGATAATCGCAAGCTTAAATTCAAACTACTATGTCAAAATTTATGTAGCATGGTATGGTCTAGACGTTAATAGTACTTTGTGGTCTTTACTTAAATTTTGACATTGTGAAGTTTGATACTCGATACAGTCTCTGAATATCGTTCTTACAGAACAATAAATTATAAAATTTTAAATTTTTTTAAAGTATGAATTAACCGGAAAAAATAAAATTGTAGTATATTATGACGTCTACATACTCATTCATCAATGTTTATGATGTTTTTTTTTTATAGAATTAGGGTGACAAACGAGAACACAGTCCACCTGATGGTAAGTGGTTGCTGTTGCCCATAGACATCTGGATCTATCCTCGTTTGTGAATTAAAATGCAGATGCGTTGTCAGCCTTGAGAACTAAGATAGAATGCCTCTTTTCCAGTAAAATGGGTCTCCGGTTCTCTACACTCACCATACGAAACACAGCAGCATAAAATACAATGAAGGGCAAGTTTTAATTGAAGCACTTGATAACGTAATTATATATTTTTACAACACAATGTAGCAACAATTTTTTAAAGCTTCCCGTTTTATTTCTTAGAGCTACATTCTAGACAACCAATTGTACAACCAGTACGTATTGCCAGTGATGACTTACGGAACTGAGACGTGTTCCTTCACTGCTGGCCGTATGAGGAAGCTCAAGGTCGCTCAGCAAGCTATGGAGAGGGCTATGCTTGGGGTTTCTCTGCGTGATAAACTTAGAAATGAGTATATCCGAAGTGAATAGAATAGAATATTTTTAATCAATATACATTACATGTGTAATTCTTATTGAAAGTCATTTTTTACTTTACCACTGGTTCGAAAAAAACCCTCTGTCCTGGGAAGAACCAGCAAGAAACCCAGCGGGACTCTTTTTAAAGCAAATTTTACAATATAAATGATTACGAACTATTTACAAAATTTATTTTAGAAACTGCTTGGAAGCGATCACCTCATTCCCAGGGGTTATTATCAACCATGTATTCATTTATACAATAATAACCCTTTTTATACAGTTTCAGCTTAATAAAACATTTAAACTTGGTAATAGAGAGAACCTGTACACTTTCCGGGACCTTGTTGTAATAGCGTATACATTGCCCCAAGAATGAATTACTGACTCTGTGGAGTCGAGAAACTGGTATCACTAGCTTGTGTTTGTTCCTAGTGTTTACAGAATGTATACCACTTCTTTTACTAAAACTATCTTTGTTTTTGTGAACATACATTAAATTTTCGTAAATATACTGAGAGGCCAAAGTTAATATATTAATTTTTTTAAATTTATCTCTAAGAGACTCTCTCGGTTTTAGATTGTAAATAGCTCTAATGGCCCTCTTCTGTAAAACAAAAATAGTTTCTGAATCAGCCGCATTTCCCCATAGCAAAATCCCATAAGACATTATGCTATGAAAATAACTAAAATAAACTAATCTAGCTGTCTCGACACTAGTGAGACCTCTAATCTTTTTTACAGCATAGGCTGCAGAACTTAGTCTGCTTGCTAATTTGGATATATGGGGGCCCCACTGGAGCTTTGCGTCAAGAGTGATGCCAAGAAAAACAGTGGATACAACAGGGCTCAATTCCTCCCCATTTAAAACTTATACTTACTTATCTTCACGCACAATCCCTGACGGGGTAGCCAGAGAGAACAGATCGCCAAGTGTCACGATCCTTACATATCTCTTTCGCTTCTTTCAGATTCATTATCTTCTTCATACATGCACGTCTAGGTATCCGAGTACTCTTGACCCTACCCTCTTCGAGCAATTTGCTCACATGGTCTTCGAAAGTTAGTCTCGGTCTACCTCGACACCTTTTAATATTAACTTTCGCGCTATATATTTTCTTCACCATTCGGTCTTCACTCATTCGCTCAACGTGCCCAAACCACCGAAGCACGCCCTTATCAATTTTTGTGATAAGGTCATCTTTCAAACC